CCCCCCAACGACCGACCCACCGCCGATCAGGTCCACCTCTCCCAACCAGGGCTCCCCCAGCATGGCGGCTCCCGCCCGCCCCGCGGCACCCGCAGCACCACCTCCAGAGACAGAACCCGAACCATTGACCCTCGCCCAAGTCCTTCAACCAGACCGTCCCACCCTGAAGGACGATGTCCCTGAGAAATGGCAGGCTCGCGACATTGCCAACTGGGTCAAACAATTTGATGACATCATCCAAGAATCGGCCACCGCCATCATCAAACTTCTCCAAACATCAGGAGCTACGCACCCACACTTTACTCCAACACATTCGCACACTGCACAAAGCATTGTCACACATTCACCACCATGCAAAATACGTTGAAAGAGCGGAAGCCATTTATGCGGTGGGCTTACTCCACTTGGCAGCCATTTTCTACTTCCCATCCTCTACCCACCGCTCCAAACAATGGCGCGCAAGATTCCTACAACTCCAAGTCCACCCAGAGCACTACACTTACTCCCATTTCCTTGCCCCCAACTCAGTCTACGTCAAACTTTTCTTCAACTCCCACGACACACACCGATGCTACGACCAACACGGCCACTGCTATGTGGGCTCTACTGCCATCGGCATACCTGGCAGAGAACGCAACCGCCGAGCCAAGCTTAAACAGCTAGCCAAGAACACTCCCATCTCAGCGGGAGTGGCACTCCACTACACTGACACTCCACTGACACTATCACCCAGTTCTCCACCATCCACATTGCCACATACCCAGACTATGACCAGGCCTGGATCTATGAACATTTGTACATCTCCAGATGGCAACCTACACTCAATTGGCCTTACATTTCACAGCACCTCAAACTCAAAGCAGACGGTTGGCAATTCAGCCGGCATCGAGCCCATTTCTTTCCACGCCTTGCCAATCACTATCGCGTTTTTCGACGACTACGACGACGACTACAATCTACAGCCCAACCTATCCTTTACACGTCACACAAACTACACGCCCTCACCATCCTTCGAGACCTCACCAAACACACACGAGCATCCTTCGATGCCGCCAGACAGCTCCGCTCCGGCAAATACACCGATCTTGAAGTTTACGCCATTCGTCGCATGGCTACCAGCCTTGAAGAACCAGGGCGCAGCAGGGCTCTCCACATTCTCAACCAAGCCTTGACTTTCCGCAATCTCACCCCACCGAAGAGCAATCTTCCCTTGCCCACCCCAATTTCCAATCCGACGTCCAACGCTGGCTCGCCCAGCTCATCAACCATCACAAGCACTTTGCCATACCTCTTCACCTCCCTACATGCCGAGTATGAGAAGCAGCTCACCCCACACTCCGTAGCCGCCTGCATAACCACAGGCGATGGGAAACAGTACTCGGCAGCCCTCCAGATATGGACCAACTCCCATGTGGGTGCGCATACCTCCGCACCCTGCTCGTACCGACTTCTCAATTTCCCAACGAACACTTGATAGTGACCCTCGCCGACTTACAACTCCCAGCCCACCTCCGCCCATTTTTGAACGCCAATATGAATAGCGCTTTCTTCCCCACCAAGCACCGCTACTTCGAAGCCACCCACAAGAGCCTCCACAAATGGCTTCGACATCATGGACTCCCCACCACATAGTCCCACCACTGCAATGCGTTCCTTACTACTCAATGGAAGCATCACCATCTCCACCTACAACATGAAGATCGATTCACAGCCAGATCCGTCAAACAACTCCAAGAATTTCTCGGAGACAAAATAGTCCTTCATCATGCAGACCATGAACTACAACATCTCCGGATTTTTTGCCCACACATCTACTTTCGTGGCTGCTTGGCCACCTGGCACTCCCCAGAACTTTTCCAACCACTACCAGATGACACAGACCAGACCATTTCCGCCATTATCCACCACACTTTTCCTCCACACCTCCGCCCCAAATACAAATGGGGCTTCAACACCAAGTTCAAAATGCCGTACGGAGTAGTTCACCTGAAAGCCAAGAAGCAGTGGCGAAAAGGTCGCGCTATCATCTCATACTTCAAATCTTGCTACGGTCCACTCCTACGTGTCACCTCCAACGTACTCAACACCATGATCTACCGCCTCCTACCGCAGTCACCAGGGCAACTCTCCACTCCCCAACTCTGGCACCATTTCCACGAATACCTTCAGCGCACACCAGCGTCAGTCGATCTCCATGCCGTCAACGATGACTTGGTCGGCTTCTTCAATTCTGTCCCTCAAGACCGCCTGATCCAAGCAGTCCAAAGCCTGGTCAACCGCTGGCAACATACATTCTCTACCCCAACCATCACGGTTGACACCCACACAACTGGAGACCCAATCCAGCTTGCCCACATTGGCCGCCATCACCGCAAACATCCCACACAACGGACACTTTACACCGATGACATCACCACGATCGTTGCTCTAGCATTGGTTTCATGTATTTTCAAAGCATGCAATTCTTTCTTTTTGCAAGTCCGAGGAGCCGGGATTGGCTCTCAGCTCTCGCCGGCCTTGTGCAATGTCGCCATCACCCTCATTGAACATTCATGGCATCAGCTCCACCATCCCTTGACTGACCACACCGAGACCCATTTCGTCTATTACCGATACGTGGACAATCGCTTCATTGCCTTCAACAGCATCTTCTTCAAACACATGGCTATCCAAACGCTCATCCACCCGGACTTTCTAAGGCAACCCAGTGGAATTGGAACCCGTGGACGACATGCACCTGCTGGGCTTTGATGTGGATCTACGTCAGCGGACGATCACCTACATCCCACCAGACGCTTCATGGAAAATACGTGATTATGCCTCCGCTGGATCCACTCGACTACGACTTTCCGGCCTTCAATCCAGAGCACATCTCATCCGCAAGTACACCTACCCATCCTCGGCTGTTGAGCGAGCGCTTGCTCAACTAGCAGACCTATATGTCCAAAAAGGACACGATCTTCGCAGCTGTCGTCAAGCCCTCGAGAGGAAAAGCTTCGGTTTCGATCGAACTCGTTCTTCAGTGCACCCTTACGCAGAGTGCATCATCCCCCGTCTCGTGTTTGTGCATGTTCCCCCTGTTCCTGCAGTTCTCCCTGTTAATCTAGGTTTTGATGCTGTCTTGCCATGCTTCTGGCCCTAGCTTCACGCCCTCCCATTCCCACCATGACGTCACTTTCCGAGCAATGTCACGCAAAGTGCGCCGTCCCCGGCCCTCTGTGCGTGTCACCACCTGTTCCTAAGGTTTTCTTAGCTCAGCTAATCACTGTGTAGCTGACGTCCATTATGTTTCAGGAATACGACGTATGACTTCTCAGCTTGAACAGCAGGGGGGCAGTGAATCTCATTCCATCCACTGCCCAACGAAGACGGTGGTCAGACTCGACACACCTACCTGACGCAATGAAGCTATGGTGTATCGAGGGTTGGGTGGACTGATCGTCCACCTGTACCTGCATGTGGCCAACACTCCAATCTCCACCGCTGTTCCTTGCTGCCATGGTTGTTCTCACGATAGACCCCTAAACTTTCCCACCGCATTTACAGCCGCGCCGATTGTCCAGCTCGTTTGAGTGTACCTGCAAATTAATGTTAAACCATTCACCTCCGCCGACTCAGCCACCATTCCGTTCCACTATCCACTTCACCGTGGATTATGACACTGAAAACCCTGTGGCTAAGTGTGCCCTCATGCGTGTTCTCCAGAACGAGGAATTTTGGGGATTCACCCTTCTGGGCATTCTATTTAGCACGCCCTTTCCGGGGCAATCTATCATGGCCGTGGTAATGTAACATTTGTTGTAAAGTGATGTACAGTGACACTTGCGGTATAGCGTTCGTGCATAGAAAGCACTACGACGCTTACGGAATCGCGCGAACAAGTGCTGGGTTTGGAAAACGATAGGGTTCACTAGGGGATGGGGATGGTCTGATTTGAAAACGAGTACAGCCCAGATAAAGGCACATAAGAAATCATAAGAAACATTATGTACATGTAGCCGGCTTGTAGGTGTTTTTTCCATTTGTCGCTTCACGCGGTTGACGTGTGAGGGGATAGAGCTTGCTCTTGGCCAGCAGGCGCATTAAGGGGTCGATGGGAAGACATCATGGCAGTACGGGAAAAAGCCTTGCACAGCGTCACAGCAGCATGGCATGAGAAGGCGGATGGAAGATTTCCAATTGAAAGTGCATGTCGTTTGCGTCGCATCATGTCAACTGTCAACCCTTCGTTAAAAAATTGACCAGGATGAACAAAGAACATGCAGCGAATGTAAGCAGTTTTTGAACACTCTTGCTTTGCAATGTTCCCAAGCTGTTCAAAAGTTCAACTAGCCTGGCAGGTCCAGGTAGCGGGCTACCCGGCCCATGTCCGGTATGTTGGTGAGACCCACTTTGCGCCTGGAGAGTGGATTGGAGTCGAGCTGGAACCAGGTGGGGGGCTAGTGGACATCGTCACCAACCCTGTTGAACTGACCAGATATTTTAACGAAAAGAAGGCAGAACCGCTAGTTTAGTCAGGTTGATGTCCTTGGTGAGCATGAGTTGGTGGAATCGAGCCTGTTGCCGTTATTCGCTGTCGACCATTCGGTAGATTCCGTGGAGAGTAGACTTTATATATATATAGATACCTAATATTTAGATAAAATACATGCTTGCGCCGAGCGGAAAATTCTGCGGAGTTCCTGAAAGGCACAGATGCAAGCTGCGTTTGACTGATGGGCATTTCCACAGTTCTTTTGCAGGCCCAAAAAAGGAAATGTTGCTTGCATTGTTCTCCCTTTGCTCAGCTGTCGGCAAGAATGACGGCTCTGTGAATGAGCACCGGTGTGCCAAAGCTGATTTGTTGGTTGCAGTTATGCTTGAGAATATAGCGACAGCGTGTACTATGAACCGTTTGGCGAGTGCTTACAAGAGTTTGGAAGGACCACGTTTGACATGTTCGGCCAATGTGGGCAGTTGGTTCCATAGAAGTCTTCCATCCAGCTCGATCGAGGTATTTTGCCTGTAAAGCAAATCATGGACTGTTTGTCCGCCGAATGGTCGTGCAGGGATGCCCAGCTGGCAGGGTTTGGGATAGGATGTGGAGTTGTGAAGCTTGCTCCTGATTGTCCAGGCTCTTTTGCAATCCACTGCTGAATCTGGATAGGTTAGGACCTTGTTCCTGCTCAAGAGCTACTGTAAACCCCATTTTGTACTATCGTACCTTGCACTCAATGAGAAAAAACGAAAGTAATTCAGTATCATGCATGCAGTGATGTGGAATAATGCCCACGGTGTTTTTTCCCCGTGTTCGTGCTAGTCTAGCACTGACATGCTAGACGTTTTTCTTGGCTTTCATCACGGAATCCCCGGCTTCGCGGGGCCAGTTGGCTTTGTAATCCGCGCAAAGGAAAGCTGCACCTCAGATGCCCGAAGGGACGGAAGGTGTGGACAGATATGAGCCGATGATGTAGCACTGCGTTTGGCGATGTCAAGCTCACCAGGCTCTAAGATAATTGAAGTTCTGAAGTAGTAGATTGAGAAATCGCTTCTAGGTTGGAGGCCATCGCTACTGTAGTAGGTTGGAGGCTGGAGGCCATCGCTTCTAGGTTCCGCGCGTTTCAGTAATCTTGTGCAGCTGAACCCCAGAAGTCCCAGAGTGCATGGAAGTTGTGGCTTGTTTGTTCAGACTTAACGGGGGGTGATACAGAGGGATATATATATATATATAACAAGCATCATCATTATCAGCAAACCGGCTTTTGGTGACATTAGGGCACCGTCGCATGCGGTGGGAGCATGCAGCCAAGTTGATGCCAGGTGTGGAGCCAGGCCCTTCCTCTGGTGTACAGTTTGCAGATTGCATTGTCCGATTCCCAGGCGCCTTGCAGGAAGATGCAGGAAGCAGAAGGTGCTGACTTACTTAGTTATTAGATGTTATTAGGTTTGCTTGATTGGCCTTGTAACTGCATTGTGTGGTGCTACTTTAAGATACTTTAAGCGTCAGCGGGCAGGTTGCAGATCTAAATGAACCAGCAACAGTCAACATGCTCATGCTCATTGCTTTATTGGTTTGTGTATTGGTTTGTTTTGCCCTTCGAACTCGCCGCTTGGAGTCCAATTCTCGAGGATTTCTAGGATGAAGCCAGCCTTCCAGGTTTGTCAGTTTGAAGGCTGATGGGGCGCTTGAATATGAGCTGGCTGAGGCAGAAGACATGCCTGTTGAGAGAGGCCAGTCTTGATAATGGAGATGGGTAACTGTGCAATGATTAGTGCCAGAGTGCCAAAACACACCCTCATGCAAATGACACTACGCATGCCGAGCGTATGCTAATGTCCCACTCTGCCCATTCCTCCCCTGCTCAACTTCGAAACCCAGCAGCGAAAGTCGGTATGCGGTATGCTGCTGTTTGGTATTTGTATAAGTCACGAAAGCTAGCACCAGCTAGCTGAAGTTTTCCTTGCTTTGCCCCCGCCCCCGCGGGTTCAACTCCCCCCTGGGACGCCTCTGCGACACCTCTTGGACACCTCTTATGGCATCCACTTTGGTTCAACTCTTCCGTGGAGGTTTTGGGATACGATGCAACAGATTCAACAGATTCACAAGCTAAGGTTGGCTGTGTCATTGCTGTTCGTGTGTCTTACATGTTCACAAAGTTTTACCTCATGAGCGAGACCGTGTGAACCATCCCTCCAGCAGCCCCATGCATATGAAAAAAGATTTGCCTCACTCCGCTTGATGTCCCACCAGTCCTTTGTCACTGGACGGCGCTGTATGCTTCGCCTCCACTGACACGGATGCATCCCTGCTAGCTTTCGTCATCTACCCTCGGCCTCAAGTATGGTTCTGTGTTCTATTTTTCCAATATTTGGGCCGCTTAGAGCTTAGGGCCTGTTGAGTAGCTCTGACTTTTACCAATTCGTGTGGCCGAAGTCCAGTGGTTGCAACCAGCTTGTTGGTCTCGGATGCGGCTGTTGTACTGTACTTGTACATAGAGTGGTCGTATAGATGATATATATATATATATACATATGCATATGCATATAATCTGCCAGGTCGTGCATGCATCAAAGTGCACTGAACTGCCATGGGCGGCATGGGGGAAGTGATGGGAAGTGCCATTGGATCTTCATTGATGGAATTCGCACTGCCCAGTTCAATCCAGTGAGGATGACGAGGTGACTGAGGTTGAAGAGGCACCAGGAGACGCCGTGTCGCAGCAGCTCGTAAAGAGTCACATGTTTCCGGTGTGATATTTCGGCACGATGATCGAGTACCGTACTCTCAAATGTTGAAGTCGTGGCGACATTCAATTTTTGAAGCGTTTACTTGGGGATTTGAATCTATGGAAGTCGTAGTGATGTTGCGTTTAGTTGGGGAGAAGACAAGGCAGCAGCAGCAAACAAAACGACGATCAAGCAAAACGCCGATCGCACAGGCAAACGAGTGGGGAGGCAGGTGGGGAAACAAGTAAGTAAGGAGACAAGGCAGGAGCGGCAAACAAAACGCCGATCACAGCAGACAAGCGGGGTTTTCATTCTGAGGGCTTTCCTTGGTGGCACGGGTTCTGACCTCGTCCGCCCTGTAGAGTGCCCAGAGCCTGGTCCAAAGAGATGTCAAGGGACCACAAGGAGATTAACATCATTGCTAAGTCATTGCGTTTCCATGCCAGAAGCTTGTTGTGAATGCATGAAAACTGTGCTTCGGATGGAACTTCGGAACACATCAAAAACGGCGACCTCGACCTCGTTTTTGCACAACATTGCTAAATGACACTTCTAACTGGTTGCGTTTACATGCAGGAATATTGTCTTGAATACATGAGAACTGTGTCGGGGAGAACGCACCAAAAACATTCACAAATCATCGCGTTTACACGCGGGAACAACTTTTTTGCAAGGACTATGCCGGGACCCCCCTCTTGGCGCCGCGTTTACATTGGGGAACACATGTTTTTTCCTAGTATGCCGTGACTTCCGCGGCTGAGTGTATTTGTCTCCAACCTGTTCCGTAAATAAAAGTTGTATATACTGAATTCACAGCATTCTGAGCCACGCCATATTATGCTCAATCGATTTTTATGACGAAGCCTTCTATCATGCAAAGGCGGAACTGACAGGATGTGTCTTGAAACAAGAAGTCACACCAATCAATGGCCTTGTGTTCCTGTAGGTAATGGTGCCAACCAAGTCTATCCGGCGTGGCGGCATTTCGGCAGAAGCAATGCGTGACCAGGAGATGCAGTACAGCCTAGTTTGGTTTCTTTTCATAGGGCCGCTTTTCAAGTTGTAGGCGCATTGTGCATTGTGTTTCCAAACCCGTAGATCAAGAAAGTTGATCATCGATGTCAACGGGCGCAACTTCCATGCCGTAGGTTTCTAGGATTCTTTGGTGTCAAATGTTTTTCTCGCGTTTGATTGGCGTACATTGCCACGTACGGCATCTGCTGCAGGGTGACCAGTGGCAACCACCAGTCTACGCGAAGAGTGAGGAGCAGACGCAGCAACTGAGACGAGCCGCTGGGACAGATATATTGTGCAGCGGCAGAAGGCATTGACACTGACATTGAAATTTGAAACAGTACGGGCACAAACAGTTGAACTGACGGTGGCACAGAACCACATTGGTGAAAACAGAACGTAAGCTGACCAGACTAGATGATAAATTGAACGCTTTGGAGTTTAGCCTTTGTTGCTATGGCCGAAGCTACAGCACCAAGTAGGACCAGCCTGTATTTGCACCTGGATTTGGTGTGGTTTGCCCTGCGGGTGAAGGCATAGGGTTGTGCTATTGGTACCTTGCGAGAACCCCCATCAAACTGAGAAGATCACTAAACTTAGTGGGGAGGCAGACCTCAGCCAAAGGTTGAAACATTACGCGTCCCGCCGGAACCTGAACCCTCACCCAAACTATACCTGTTCAGGTTTAATTTCACACCCACCGGCACATAAGTTGGTTTGAACTGTTTATATATTTTTATATAAGTTGAAATGTTTGATTTCCAACCACCTAATTAGCACCTGCTCCAGCAAACAAGCCAGGTGATTGAGAGCTCGCACGACAGCACCCTGACTGCAAGCAACAAAGTATCAACCAAGAGTTGAGTTGTGTTTGTCAGTTTGTGTCGCATTCTCCATATTGGCGGCGGGGCGAGGTGTGGTTCAGGAGGGAGTCTTCCAAGTAGTCCGTAGAATTGTCCAACCGCCGTTATGTATAAAACTATGACCTGGAGTCTCTCGAAGGCTCATTTCAACAGCACTTTGTAGCCTTTCAAACCGAGCTGCAGCCCAGGCAAGCTGCGGATGATGTTCCTCCCTGAGCACGGCAAATGGAGACTCGCGCCGCTAAATTATTGACTTTGCAATATGAAGAATGGTATGGGACCCGAGCTAGCCATTCTTTGTGGTTGGGGACTATTTCAATATTCAATCCTGTGAGACTTGATTTGTTGTTAGGTTCGGCAATCTTTCGCAGAAAGGCCTGGAGAAGGTGGTGGAGGCAAGGTTTTTGTTGTGATGAGGGCCGTATCCCATTTCTCCGTCTATTCAGATGCTACATAAAACCACACACCAAACCCGAATGGTGAAGTCATGCGTCCCGCACACTTGTCTCAACGGCAATGTTGTTGCACCGCAATCAGCCAAGGCCATGTTTCAGAAAGCTGTGTGCAAGGGAGAGACCATCATCAAGCGCCACTTCGAAGTCTTAAAAGATGTGTGGAGCTGTAATGTCGACGGGCCACTGATTCTTGATGCGGCGTTTATGCAGGTACGGCGATGAAGGAGACAACTTCTACATCGTCAATCTTGCATGGGTTGCCATATAATATATAAACACAGCATATTCAATTGTAATCGCCCTGCTGGGAGATGCGGAAAGGTATGCCAGCCTTGTGAACACGTATATAATTGAGTATGTAAGTGCTGGGATTGCGGCAGGTTTTGGTGACTGACATAGTAATGGTGACTCAGTCTTAGTAGGCTTCTTCGTTGCTTGCTCGAACAATGCCGCTAATGCAAGCAGAAGGCACCCGGAGCGGTTAGTATTGGGCTTTCGAAGCGAAAGAGGGAATTGAAACTGTCATTGGCCGTCAGTGCCTGCCAGGTCAAAAGCGGTAGGTTTGACATTTTCGCGTACCGCAACATTCAGCAGGCAAAGCCATTTTCAAGTCTGGCTTTGGCAACATGTCCACATCGTATGACAGTGCACCTTGAGCCTCGATCATTTACTTCAAGAATTAGCCTTTTCACGAGAACTGTTCATGTGTCGCCATGTTTGTCCTGTGTTCACGTGCAGACTGCTCACTCTTGTGATTGCAGGCTGATGATGACCTGACAGACGCTAGCGCACGGATGGTGAAGGCTTCAATTTGACTATGTTTGAGCACGTGTCATCACCACTCTGCATTTGGGTGTTCATGGCCCTATATTGAAAACTATGTTTGAGCACGTGTCATCACCACTCTGCATTTGGGTGTTCATGGCCCTATATTGAACATAAGCTAGACCAAGGGGCTTCCAAGACATTACGTTTTAATACACTTTCAGCATTTGAAAGTAGAACAATCACTTTGCAGGCCATGTTCTCCAAGCTTCTCCAGACGTGACAGGTCTTTGAAGCTGGTGAAGGCTTTGCATTTGGCGAGACCGCCTTGTTGTACAATGCGTCTCGGCTGGTTGGCCTTGAGGGTCTTCAGGGTATTTATAATAGCGTCCTTGCCACTAGTAGTAATGGCCTCCAACCTGATAGCATGGCCTCCACCTAGTAGCTTCTTGTTGCCAGTAGCGATGGCCTCCAATCCCGCGTTTTTGCTTTTCCAAGCAGCTTCTTAGGGATTCTTGGATGTTGATAATTATTTGGCACTATGACAGCAGCTGTGGGTTGAAGTCAGGAACTTGCTTATGAAACACGATGAAGCACTGCAAAAGAGTTTTTGATGCGTTTCCAAGCAGCTGAGTACTGTAAATTATGCGCGTGGAAAGCCTTTTTGCATTTTGAGCGCCCAGGCCCCAAGGTCGGCCACCATCACTGCCAGTGAGGAGTCCTGACCACTCAGCATTGGTACTGAAGTAGGCTGAGGACACGGTTCCAACCCTGAGTATTCTCCCAACATCTCCGTACTGGGCTACTCAGTGACTGCATTCTCCCTGGTCGGATCGAAATGGCTCGCATTGGCTTTGATTATTGATGTAATTGGCTAGCATGAGGCACACAACAAGGTCAAGACTCAGTGACAGCTGGCAGGACTCAGAAGTATGGTGCCTTGAAAGAAAGGCGTTTCGAGAATTGGTGATCAGGCCCTTCGGCTGGACAACTTCCAAATTGGAGACACTTTGAGTGGATGGGAAGTAAAATCTTCGGCACAGTTGTGGTTCTGTTCTCTCAGGGCATCTGAGCAAAAGTTCAAAGAGTGCCCTCGCACAATGCCCTGGGCCAGGGTGCACAAGTTTGCACTGTCCAGAGGAAACATCCTTTTTTGGGTCCGTAGTCAAGCCCTGCCCATAACCACCCACCTAGAGTCCCAGAGCATCCTGGAATGAATAAAGTAATGTTCGGCAACTACTGTGCGTTCAGCCCACGCTTTAGTGTGCGAAGCCAACCTTTTAATTTCCGAAACCACGCTGACCATCCTGGAATCCTAGAGCAATGCTTTTTGCTGAGCCGTTTGCTGTACTACTGTAGATGTTTCCTTGCCCTCAGCTGTGGCCTGGCTGACCACCTGGCCCATTTGGCCATGTTTGACTCACATGGCGTGGAAGGTACTCAGAGTTCCTGAAGCAGTGCGACGTCTTCGAAGAGTTGGATGTGGAGTGGCTTTTCGAACTGTATAATTCATCATCCATTTGGAAGTGTATTTGATGAATGATGATGGGCTCGCCTACCTGCTGATCGTGAGACAGCATGACCATGAGCTACAGATCACGCATATTTGCTCCTCACGGCAGACGCCTGATATCTGATATTCAGATTCAGGAGCAAATTGCAACCCTGGCTGAGGCCAAGCACAGGGGCACCGCGTTTGTTTTTTTCTTTTTTAATGAGTTGGATTCGAGAACACAGCAGGCTTGCAATCAATGTTTCACCAGTTTCAACACAGCCAAGCTTTTGCTGGGCAGCTTGCTTTCCCATGCAGCTCAGTAAGCGACCTTTTGGGAATCTGGAAATTGGCCACGTGCATGTCCAGGTAGTTGATGAGGAGGACTTCAACACGGATGAGGCTGGGACCAGAGACGGCAGAGTGACGAGCCATGCCCGCCAGAGAGAGAGAGAGAGAAATGTACAAATGTGCTATCAGTAGGGGGATGTCACAACCTGTGACATGTGTCATTGCCTCATTGCAGCAATGATCAGGCAATCATTCAGCAGGGCGTCCGGCGACCCAGTGAAGTAAACACTCGCCAGTGTGCTGGATGATTGTGATAGCCGATTCTGTAAGGGGCGCGACAGCAACATGTTCATCATCCTGAAAGGGCAGGCAGGATCAAAGCTCGGAATCAACTTGTCGATTTATATAACCTATGAGATGACTTGTTGTGAAGGCCGTGGCATGCATTGCGGGTGAGAAAGGAGAAGTTCAGGTGCTGGCCAGCTGGATTGCTGGACTCCATTCAATCATCCTTGCTTGTGATACAGTCTTGAGAAAGCCAAGTTTGGAATTCGGAGGCTGCTTGTGCTCTTAGAGACTTGCTTTGGTCCAACATCCTTTGGTCCAACATCGTCAGGTGAAGACCTATGCCAAGGGCGACTTCTTTGGGGAGATTGCCTTATTGTTGGGTGAGCCCCGCAAGGTCGGATGGTCCAATGTCCATTGATAGCTTTTTGCTCCTAGTAGCGATGCCAGGAGCCCCTAGTAGCTTCTTGTTCCTAATAGCTTCTTGCTCCTAGTAGCGATGCCAGGAGCCCCT